GGTAAAATTCATTTTAGGCGGCGCTTTAGAACGCGCTTTAGAGAGCGCGGTTTACGCGCTCTACCGCGCTCACACATAGGCGCGCGCGCGCGCGAGATGAGGCGCTCTAAACTTCGCGAGATTGCGCGTAAACGCGGCAGCTTTTATTGTTTCGTGTGCAGTCGGCGTTCCCGAAGTGGTCACCGGTGGTGGAAAAACAGAGGCCGAGGTATTAAAATTGACATGCCATTTTGTTCCTGGGCTCTGAATAAGGCTCGTTGAAGAGCGAAAATTTGTGCGCACGGATGCGAACTAGCAGCAACACTTCTTTACCAAAATATACGACGGCTTTGTGAAAATGATGACATATTTTCCTGCAAATACCTTTTAAAGGTGTTTCAGGATTAAGGTTTATAGAAATTAAGTCCAAAAATCGACGTACAAGAAATTATCAGAAAATAAAATAAAAGCACTGAAATAATATTAATTTGTACATTTATTATACATCTTTATATATTTTATTACCCTTAATCTAACATATTCTTTAAAACCTAAAAAATTTCGGGATATACAGGATGTTCACGTAACGCACGATTTTCGGGACATTTCCGACCGTTCAGTAACCGTTTCTAGTAGTCTCTCTCGATCTGGGGAATGGCTAGGCGTATGTACATACAACTGAGTGATAGGCAAATTGTTACGTCGTTACATCGATACATCGTGCGGAAGATGACGTAGAAATAAACTATCGTTTCGCGTATACATGTCGTAAGGCAAAAACTCGATAGTAATTACATTACGCGATGAAAACAAGCGTCGTTGATCATTGAAAATTTCTTCCGGCGATCGTCGGGTTCAAGTTGTTCGCGGAAGAATGAATGTTGCGTTCGCAGCTCGCGATCGACCTATCGGAGAGTGCCTTTCCGCCTTCCCCCGGGCCGGGGGAATTCCGAAGTTCGACGAGACGAAGACGATCGCGATCGTTGTTAGTCTTGTCGTTACCGATGCGAGGAAGAAATTACTCTCACGAGCTATCTCGGAGCGGTCCCGGGCGCACTCTCCTTCCCCGAGTACGAGAGTTATGCGTTAGCGTTCTATGAAAGGCCGAATACGAGCTGCCGGGGCAGCCTGCTTTCGGCTCTTGTCATTTGTCTTCCTCCGAGATAGAAGCAAAGTTCCAAAGACCGCCCCAAGTTGCGTCCCGGGTGGGTAGGGGCCAACGTCACCCTAAATTTTCGCGCTTGCGGAATTAATGGCGGCGTCAGTTTGTAAAATCTTCGTTAACGTCGCGGGAAGTCGCGGCACGATATACGTTCCGATAGTTTAAACCGAGTAGATCGAGGTAGAGAGAAAGAGAGAGGGAGAGAGAGAGCGAGAGCCGATTGTACGTAATGGTACGTAATGGTGGAGATAGATCCTAATTCTCCCGTCGGTGTGGTGAGAACGGAGAAAAATCATCGACGGCACGCTGCTTTCATCTTCGAAGTATATAAGTCCCGGTGCTTTAAGCTTTGAGTCTTAAGAAAGTGACCAATCACAGTCGAATGCGAAGAGAATAATTAATTGTGATTGGTCAATTCCTTAATGTTTAAGATACTTATTATAGACCGGGGATGTGTACACGGAAAATCGAGATCAGTTTCGTTATCCAATTCGTGTAACGTCCTGGTGATATATTATTTTTGTAGCTCGATCGTACGTCGGAACAATCGTTGGAATAATAATAATGAAGCGAGAGCGTTAATTATCGCGATCGCTTTCGTCGCGATCGTTTCCGCGCCGTGGTAATCGCGTTTTGCTCAACAGCTTCGACGATTCAGTTCAACGTGCTAATCTTTCGTAATTCATTTATCGAGATTCGCGAGATCCTCTCTCTGCAGCTGCAGCAGCGGAGGAGAGCCTTTCTGGCGCGCGCGTGGGGACGCGACGGGATAGGTGTTTAAGTACTGCACCGATACGGCATTATTGAATCGACGCAAGAACACCTGGATCCACCTGGGTTTCCAGGTGGCTACGAGCGGACGCGCACCAGCTCGGAGAGGGCGAACGAGCGTCGTGTAAAAACCGCCCGATAAAACGGCCAATTTCTTCCGCCGTTGCGACGAAACGCGATCGATTAACCTCGTCACATATCAACGCGTGGCACACACAGAGGATGACTTTCGTGTACGTGTTACGTGCAATTACACCGTCACTGGCACATTAACGGATTCCTCGGGACGAATTTGGAATCGATAGCGGGAGAGACCCGATGGAAAGCTGCTACTTGTAATTCGTCGGATGCTTTTCAACGCTAAATTAATCCGCGTGATTCACTCAAATTAGACGTCTGCTCGAGCGAAATCCGTTTGCCGCCAATTCTAAGCGATCTCTTTGACAAAAGCGACAGCGGTCGAAAGGCGCGAAGGGTAAAATTGTTTCTATCTTTGCACGTGAAACTGTTCCAGACGTGGAGTCTGGCAGGATAATATCGCGCTATTGTAAGAAGTATCTCAGGCGACTGAATATCGAAAGCAATAATCAATAAGCGATGTGGATTACGTCATTCTATAAATAATACGAGTTTCTAATGTTAATTCAATTTAAGGCTCTGGAATAGTCGCTATGAATTACCTCCGTTCGGGGCGCTAATTTAACGAACGACGCAATGCGTGAAAACAAACGTCGCCGATTACCGTGCCTTCGGACCTTCGGGAGCCGCTCGAGCGGCCTTCCGGTCGCCGAGCTGAACAATTTGGCGACGGATCGCGCTGAATCGAATCCGTTGTACACCGGGACGCGCGCGACAACGGAAATCCCCGTCTTATGCGCGTTATCTCGTAGCGCTCACCGAAATATGATGAACGAGCCGGCGTAATTAGTTACACCGACAGGACTGCGACATCGATTTCCCGCGGGAGGGGAGGCGAGTTACGCTCTCTCATCAGGGTGGATCTCGATGGCGCGGGGTGAGGAAGAGTACAAGCGGGCGCGCGAGCCGGTATCCCGTCCTAAGATAGATGGACGCGCAAGTATGCCGTAGTCGCGCGTCAAACGCCCGAGGATTTATGCGCGCGTAATAGAGTTCGGGGTACCCCCGTGCTCATCACGTGCGCTTCATTCAGCGGTAATTAAGACGATAAAGCGGCCCGGTGTACTACGCGCAATTAGCCGCGAGTTTAACGCGCCGGCCACGAGTCTCCGTTCGCCCAACGGAGCGGTTGTTAAACGCTCCGCAGGAAATCAGACGGGTCCTTCTCGCGAGTCTTCACGGAACGGTCGCGTGTCTCTCACCGACGGCGGTGGCGAACAAGCCTCGCCAGAACGGAGATATTTGGTCCACACGGCTGAAAACTAGCTATTCGTGTAATTGCACGGTAAATGTCGCCCAACTCGTTGAAACTTTCGGGCGTTACCGGCTTTCGATGGATGTCTCGATGTCGGATCAACACATAGTTTGTATGTTATTATTTTCATGTTATGTTTTCATGTGCAAAATTTGCGTCGATTCGGTAATTATATGTAAATGTGGCACCAAACGTGTTTGTGTCGAGTAATTAACGTTTTCAATGTGTTAAAAAGTAACGCACGACGGAAATTTATTTCAACACAAAATTCAGAGTGGACTTTCTGGAACATACGAAAAATGTTAAAATTGACATTTTAATTTTTACTGTATAGAGACGTAAAATTACCGTCAGTTTGGGTTATTTTCATCTTTACATATAACTGAAATTTAGTTTTTAGCTGTGAAAATTAATTCTTTTTTCCGTGTGTACGACTATAGTCGTAAGAATTAATTCCCCAGTAGCTAAAAACCAGGTCTGCTAACTGGATTTCAGTTGTTATCATATGGATGACTAGTTTTCAGCCATGGAAGTCACAGTTTTTAACTGTGAGAGGGAGTTACTTCTTTTTTTCCGTGTAAATTTTAATTCACCGTATCCCGCGCTCTTCCTCCCCTCGGAGCCCGCGTTCGCGCCCAACTTCTTGCTCGCCCAGCGGCGGAGCGACTTTTTCCCTCTTTCCATTCCTTTTTTCGAAGCCGGGGCGATTTGTGGAAACGGCTGACAAACCGGCGCGCGGTTTCGCGCAGATTTCGGTCGTTTATCAAGTTTTCGGTGCAGCTCTAACAGCGGCCAACTATTTTCGAAGCCCGCAGCCCAATTTACCGTTAACCCAAAGGGGCCATTACCAGCCACTCGAACTAGGAATAGTGATCAAAGTTTAATTGCACCCTTATCGTAAAGTTGTACCTACTAACAAAGTCTACCTTGGCCGCGAGAAGCGCTGATGACGAACTATTTACTTCATTGAAGCGTTAATACCTTGAATCTGTTAACCGAGTGTACCGGAGTGAGCTTCTCCGAGCTACATTCCGAGAGCGACGAAGTTGACTAGCGACACGAGAAAATATCCTATCGTATTCTTTTTTATCTCTACGTAGGCATTCCGTCTCAGAAATCGAGGGATAATTAATATTTCTACATATAGGATGTTTGATAAGTCAGTTTTGACTTTAATAAGATACGCTTAGATCGCATTATTTGATATTATTTGTGACATTTGCCATTCTTTGCCGGCATACACACAAAGGTTTCAGGTAGATCCGTCAAATAGTAAATTTTTAACAGCGTTCGAAAGCTAATAAATTTGCGTTGTTTTGTTGCAACGGAAAAAAGTGAATTTCGTGTGTCGACGACCAAATTAGTCGAATTTCCGAACATGAAGAGACGGCTCGCTGGGAAAAAATTCGCATCGAACGAGGAGATAATCGCTGACAACAAACGCCTATTTTGCGGAGTTCGAGAAATCATATTTTTTGGAAGGCTTAAAGAAGCTGGAATATCTGGAATATATGGAAACTATGTTGAAAAGTAAGTCGCAGTTTGAAAAAAAAAATTCTTTAATTTCAACGTCACTGACTCATCAAATACCCTTTCGTAGCTCTGTGCGTTTTACGCGCAAATTTGTTCAAATTGTCACATCGGAGACGACGAGTATGTGACGGAGGAGGATAATCGTACTCTGAAACGGAATAATTCCATATCACATTGATCGTTTATTGGTCCTGTAAGATAAGTTACATGCATTTAAATGGATACTGAGATAAAAGATACGAATCGAAAATGGTTGATCCAATTTCGACAATCGCTAATAACAAAATCAACAAATTGAATAAGATTGTAAATCGAGATTGTGAACGGGAAATACAGGAAACGTCGCTGTGTATTCATCTGACGGTATCCTTCCCTGAACGATCACTCTTACGCTAGCTTATGGCTCATCCACCGGGCGCATCGATCGTTTCTCTCCCCGAAGCAATTTGTGGAAATGCATCGTAATCTCTCGACAACGTCGATTTCTACCACGTAAAACCGGAACTTGTAGATTTATCGGTCAAAAATTATGGATTATATGTTTTTCTTTATCATACGAATTATGAGCAGTATCTTCCTCCCTCCCTCTCGACATCGCAAATATATTGCTACAGTTTATTTAACAAATAATATACAGGACGTCGGATACATTTCTTGGTATCCGTGGTAGGCAGGTAGAACAGTTGAAATTGTACAGGAAAGTCATGTGCTATTTTCCAAAATTCGCAAAATAGTTAGTGAGGAATTAATTGATTCGTATGACCTAATAAACATACGGAAAGTGGTAGGTCGGACTCTGTATAAAGAAAAATGGCTCATCTCTGAAAATCTCGTAGCAACGATGGTTATCAACTGACAGCGAGAGGCTTGTTTTTCTTCGGCGTGCAGCTTCGAAATGTCACCGTTTACTGCGTTATTCCGCTTCTAGAAATCAATTAATACTCATTGTTGTTAAAAAATCTCCAGAAGCTATTTTTCTTTAACCGAGTCCGACCTACCGCTCTCCATGCGCTCGATAGCTCATGATGAATTAATTCCTCATTCAATAATACTTATGTTACATTGCATTGACATTGTTGAGTGAGAAACGCAGATATAATATAATTGATGCTCGGTGTTTACAAATTTTGTAAAATAGTACATAACAAAATGCAAATTAGTTCAGCTTCACCTGTTTTACCTGCACACTACGGGTCCCTAGAAAATGATCATCTTGTATATCACTTAATAAAATTTTGTCATATTTAATATGAATGAATCTTACATTCTTATTTCACACGATGTGATCGTGTGACACGCGTATACTCGATTACGTCGATTGATCTGTTCTCTCGATTTTATCCGACGAAACATCACACGTCCGTGTATAAACAATCGAATGTATGTGCGAAGAAGAATGAAACCAATATGCAATGACGCGATTTCTGAGTACATAGTACTCGAAAGTATCGTGCACAATGTCACATGATGGATTTAACAATCGTACATTATTATATGCCTCAGTATTAATAACTTCGTTTCTTCGAACGGTCGGCGGCATCGTTTACGCGAGGAACGTAACGTAACACGTAAAAATACATTCACACCGATATCAGATATCGCCACACACATAATGTTCATGATCATTCGACACTTGTTTACCATTTGTTCGTCTTCTTTCTCGTTCATTTTACTCGTTTCTGCTGTCTTTGGCGGTAAATGTCGTTCGCTGGCGGAGGCGGCAGATCCTCCTCCTCGCTGTCGTCGCCACCTAAACGCGTGCGTCTACGCTTCTGTCCGCCGCTTGCGCCGTCGTTGCTCTCGTCGACGATCCAATGCACAGATTTTGCAAGGTCGAACAGCTTCGTGTCGCAACCGTTGTCCGCCACTGGCAACGGAGCTGTGAATAATTTCAATCTTGTATGTTCTCCAAAAAAGAAATTACATATATTTTATATTGCTACATATTATATTATATTATATTGAATTTTATATTATATATATTATTTAATTACCGTGGTCGGGCAATTGGATTCTACTGAAAACATCCATGAGTAAATCGACAGCGACAAAAGGACCTCTGAAACAACCGGGTGGCGGCAATATAGTGCATAATTGAGCCGCAGCCGGTGGCAATGGAAACGAACCGCCTATAACAACAATAATAATAATAATAATAAACACAATAATGTACAGTTTGCCGATAATATTTGTCGAATGAAACGAAGTTGTATATGCGAATACATACCCGATACCGGATGTTCACCAGGCAAGGCGTTCACCTTCGGTTTATACGGGATCATTTGCGACAAATCGGGCCTTGGTAGAGATGCGATCGCTTCTTCTGGGTCTGGTACGCGGGGCAAAGTGCCTATGGAATTTCTGGCAACATTAGACACTTCCATATATCCGATCGATCTTAATTCCATAGGTGTGCACGGGTAAAGATCCAAGAATTTGTATCTGTCTACCAATTGGGCGGTTTCTTTGCCTTCGAATTCCTTGATCTAACGGACGAAAGGAGAACAATGATCGTATTGAGAGTAATTAAATAGTTTCTCGTTTCTCATAAAATAACGGACTGTAACAATAACCTTTTCTAATACCGCACTTCGTCTCTTCTCAACCTTCACGATGCTGGCTAGATCTCCGATGTTGGATTCGAATTCCAGAAACCGATTCCATATGTCACTGTAAAAAATAGAATTTCGTGACAATAAACGTTCGTTAGCCGCAAATAAGGCTTATGGTAGGGTAGGCCGAAAAAAGAATTCCGATGTTATGAACTTACACTGATTTTTCCGGTTCTAAACTACCAGAAGATAACACTCGCTCGAACAGAACCCTCGTATTGTTATCCTCTGCAATGTAATAACGATGCATTTTAATAGCAACTTTTAGGCATTTTCGTGTAAGCGTTTTGACGTGAAACAGCTTTAAAAAAAGCGAGTCTTTTCCAAATAATTTTGAACCTTAAAAATTAAATCGTCTATCTATTATACTGTTCTTTTAAAAATTTCAAAAAACACTGACCTTATAGTGAAACTGATGAACAGCAAAATTTGGATTTTGAGAAACAAAAAAGTTACATGATACATAGAATCTCAAATTCACTTTACAAGCTTAGTCTTAGGCACATATTCAGATACAATAAATCCCTTAAAAAAAAAAGATCTATTTTTTTCAAATAAATTGAATGGAATAAAATAAAAAGCGGCATTTGAGTTTAATTAAGCTACATTACAATATATTCTCAGGATATTGGAATATCTCACATTTTTTCTTGAAACAAAAATCCCTTACCGTTCAGATGCGACAAGTAATCGATGTAACAGAGAATATAATCAGGATTGTCCCCAAATTTCTTTAAACCTAACTCGAAGATACGGAATGCTATATTCTTGTCCTTAGTACAGTAATATTCCATCAACGCGGCAGCGACGTAAACGTGATGCTTGCATCTTGCGTCTTCTCGTGCACGTTTGAACACCGTCCTCGCGGATTTTATACCTTCCGCTCTTCTCGCGAATTTCATGTACTGTACATATGCCTGTGAGAAAGAAAGCAGATATTTCTCAGCGATATTCTTCTCAATATTATTATCATACGACATACAAATATACCAACCAGAGTGGGATCGATGTCGGGTATATCGAGGAATTTCTGATAAATCTGGTGCACCTTCTCGTACTTGACTCTACCCTCCTCGAAGTCCGCGTGCGCGAAGTATAGCAACATATTCTTCGACAATAGCGTATTCGTGGCTCTCTCAAACATAGTAGCAGCCTCGTCGCTGAGATTCTTAGCCGCGTTTACGTCCCCCTTTTCCGTCAATATCTTGGAACTCAGTTCCAGAAAATGTGCCGCCTGGTGCCACACCGCGGGATGATGTCCCAGACAAAGGAGACATTGCTCTATCGCGAACATGACTCTTCGAGCAACCAGTGAGGTGTCTTCTGTTCTGAGAGGGTTACTACGTTCCCACGCGATGTACTTCTTCCATAACTCGACCTAATTAAGAGAGAGCGCATGGGTCGATCGGAAACGAAAAGAAGAAATAATACGTCGAATCGGAAAGGAAGAAAAAAAAAAGATTAAAATACCTGCTTTACTTCCTCAGGATGGCCGGTTGGAGGAATGCTAGGCGCGCTTCGATTCAGCCCTCTCGTGACCGCTTCCAATTCCTTGGCGACGCGTCTGGCGTTCATGTAGTCCCGAGATCTCTCGATCGCCATTTTTTCCGCGATTATCGGATTGATATTCTGCTCGAACGCCATGTAGTCTTTCCATAACTGCTCCATGTTTATCATGGGGTTGATCACACCTCGTTGATAGACCTACGAGACGATAATTAATCGCGGTTGCAATCGCGGAATATACATATATATGTTCATAACTTACAATAATATTCGAAATATACATATTTGAACATTCATATACATTTTCCTATTATCTGTGCATCTTTATTAGACCAACTGATGCATAAATATTAAGCACGTTAATAAAAAAAATAAATTATACTTTCGAATTTGTAATATTGTGTATATATATACACAATTCCGTTTCAAATTAACATTTATTATTTAGATAGTGAAATGGATGTACAGGAAATGTACAGGAAATAAATGCACAGAAACATAATTTCGTTTGATAAATATTAAATTTATTAGTAGCCCTTTTGATGCGCCACTGAAAATACGGCACTAACGGGCAATACATGCTTAATGATCCCCCTAAGATAATCTCAATCTTGGCTCGGCGGTGACGTGTGAACTGAGATTTTGAAAATTTTATTTTATTAACACGTTGAATGCCACGGGGATCACCGGTGACCGGCGCTATGATGTTACCGCGTTTTATTAAATTACGTGTGACGTATAACTAATTGCATCTACAAAATAGGTTGTACAGCCAGTAATGAGCTAATGAAACAAGCTAACAGATGCGTATCCTGAATTATATTTATTTACTGCAGCTTTAGTGATTTGATTGAATCAATTAGGCGTTTGTACGATCGATGGAAATCAGCGTGTTAATAACTTTTCAGAATGAACAATGAGCGACGGTTAAAACCTTCTGAAAGTTACAGCGTAGGAGGACAGGAACAACATACGTCGAGATCGAGGTCATCCTAGAGGAGTACATTAATATAGAAGTTTATCTCAGTTTTACTATTCATAAAGAAAACCATTGAATCTGTTACGTCGCTAGTGGATTACGCGAAAATATTTCATGCGGTATGTTACCTTTCGTACGGCGCTGATCTTCTGATTCTCGGCGTATGATCCGACCGCATCCACGCTCTTCAGAAACATAACGTAATCGTTCCAAATGCTGTAGGAGTGTATGTCCATTCCAATTTTATCTAATGCGAAGTCGTATGCTTGTGCCATCTTCTCTCTAAAACAATGTCACGATTAATCTCTCTTTCTCTCTCTCTCTCTCTTTCTCTGGTCTTACGAGTAAATAGTTAAATAAGTATCTTCAAATGCTAATCTATCATTCGTAACTCTTTCAATAGCGATCGAACAAAACGAAAAGGCAAAGAAACTATGCTTGTACACTTGTGACAATTTATATATTTTCAAAAGAGAACATTTGCTTATATTATATACTTACTTATAAGTAGCTAGACTCGCTTTTGTTTCTTTGACATAAGAAAGGTACAGTTTCCACAATTCAATATTTAATATTTTCATGAGGCATCTTTGGAAAAGCTGTTAGACAAAAGAGCACATTTTAGAAACGTGTCATAGCAATTAGTAACAGAGATACGTCGGAAAGATAAAAATGTATCTTAGCTCGGTCCCAAAGGAAGATATATGTACATATATCTACCGAATTACTTACCCATACAGGCAAGTTTTACTTATACACATTTTTAAACATTATACATTTGCATGAGCCACGAGATATATCGTACATTAGAATCGTTATCAGAAATATATGTGTTAACAGGCAGAATTCATTACGGAAATTTTTCTAACGATATACAATCACCGCCGTTTAACAATAGTGTTTCTACGTATAAATTGGGATAAATAATAATGCACCAATGCATCAATTGATTATAGTTTATTGTATAAACATATGAATTTTATCAGTAGCAATAACGAAAGAAATATTCTCTACGAGTTTCATATATAATAATAATAATAATCATAATCATAATAATAATAATAATAATAATAATAACATCGTGTTATAGCTAACACGGAGTAGCCCCACAAAATGAAAAAATTTATTTATTTTTTTACACGTGGGGCCGATTATAGAAGAATGTACCTGTGCGGGATCCGGAAATGAGTGATCCCAAGACGTTATAAAAAAACGAAGACAACGTGAAGCAGCATATGGTGATGATCAACGATATAATTATTTATAGGATGTGAAACAAAAGTGTAGATTTACTGAAACCGAAACTATTGAATCACTTTATCACCTTATGCTACCTCTAGAATCGTTCACAATATTTGAGCCTCCATCTGTGAGATTTGAGTTGTCTCAAATATTGTTAAGAGGGAGGGTGAATAGTAGGACTTTTCGTATTTTCTCATAGTTGAATGAAGTATCATAGAACATACTCCTTCTTTGCCCTGACTTGAACTGTTTTAGGACTTCATGTTCACATGTGTGCAATTTTTACCGTGCGTTTCTTCGATTTATTACAAAAAATTCTATCTTGTTCACGATTGTATAATGTTCGTATATATACGGTAACCGGCTTATAATAAAACGCGTCCTGAGCAAAAACAAAAATATATACTGCAGGAAGGAATATAAGGCTATTACATTCAGAAAGTTGCCTTCTTCGGCTTTGCTTTGCTGTAATAACGGCGCATCAATCTTGAGAAAGTGAACCTTACAGCAAATAATGCAAAGGAAGCTGCTCTCCGCTCGCCAAAGAAAACAACCTCCCGAACATATAAACAGATCAGTTATTAATCAATGAAATAATTGGCTGGTGGTGAAATAGTCTTTTTATTCACCTCATATAATATGCAAAGTACTTCGAGTCACATATTGTATGATAATATTTGGACATTGTGTTAGTAATACCCTAGAGTTCTAATCTGTTAACGCTACAGTGACAGAACAAAACGGAAACATTTATTCTTGTGGAAACAGCGTTTAAAGTATCAGAGCGTTAATCTCATAACGAAAAGAAACCGACGTATTAATTGACGTCATTAATCGGTTAAAAATAATACAACAAAAATCGTATGAAATCATACCCTCCTTCCAGATCCACGAATATAAATCTCAGTGACTTTAATCGCGACGAAAAAATAGATCTTATTATGAGATGTTTTGTTACCCAGAAAGTACTTTACTTTCACTTTATTATGTATTTGATTTATTTAAACCGTTCAAACCGACTTTTCTGTGNATATATATATATATATACAGAACTAATTTAATTAATAACATGTAAATATACATAAACCTATATACACTAAATTTACAAATTCATAGAATTAATATTAACATACCTTTTCCACTTTCTCAAAGTTCCGCATTTTCATCTGGAAAAATAAACGATAAACATGGATTAAAATACGACCACAAATTTTGATGCTTTAATTGTCCTAATGAAAAGACACAACATTTGCAAAAGTTCTTTTCGTTACATTCCAAAGTTTGGAACATCGGTGAAGCAATTTCTATCATTACTGTGCAAGATCAATGCTGCTAATCATTACCTCCTGTTCTATGTAAATTTTCCAATAACGCCCAGCCGATGGGAAGACGGAAACTAGTCTCTCAAACACCGGTCTCACTTCTGTGATGGGTCTGTTCTGCGCTTCTCTTATAAGGATGCTCCATGCTTCCAGGTCGTAGGATGACTTGTCGACGGTCTTCTGAGCACGTTGCAACTTTTCGTTTCCCCAATCCTGCGAAGAAATTTCAGTGTGTGCTTGCTCAATTTAATCGTGTTACGCTGATACTATGATATAGAAGCTTAGATTTTCCCTATAAATTTCTGTATCACACAATCGTCAACAAAGTCAGTGGAAAGTGAGGTTCGGTGGATCGGGCGGGCAAGAAAATTCAGATATCTAGATACTTACGAACTCCGTCTTGTCCTCCGTCATTTTATATTCCGACTCTGATCGACGACGTGCGATCCCTGCGATTTAACCACACGTGGAGGAGAAACTACACGCTTCCAGGTCTTCCACTGAACAAGATCGCCTCTAAACAAGTCCGAGGAATGGGCTGGGAATGGCCTCTACGTACGCGACGCGACGAGAAATACACGCAACTGTTCCTTCCAACATTGTTGCGACACACTTTCTGCACCCGAAAAGTGAAATGAACATATTCGTGGTATTGGTCAGAAAAAGAGAGAAGAGGAGAATGAGAGAAAAGTGCAGGTGGTGAGGTCGAAAAGAACAGCTCCCGCTCTGTTTTTTTACTTCTACTTCTACACTTTTTTTTTATTTTTCTCTCTCTCTCTCTCTTCGACACACGTGTATGTCGCTGTCTCACATCAGGTGCACAAAGTGCAGCCGAAACGAACAGACCCAACGCTGCGGCCAATCATATCACGTGTCTGTTATTTCCAGAGCAGGAAGTTCTGATTGGCCATTGCGTTTTCCGTGATGTCGCTGCGTACCGAGCAAGGAATCAACATCGACTTAATCATCGATATAACTGTCGATATATCAATGGCTGCCGTTCAAACATTCGTGTATATTTCTCGTCTTATGAAACATCGTAAAAGTCAGGAAGAATAACGTAAATTTTGCGCGCGAATATCGTCAGATTATGGTAAATAGTGTCTTGTGCATCGGATAATGCGAAATGTCGTAAACATGTCGACTGCAATTTGCGCGATGAGGACTATTTACAAGTACGTTAATAACCTTCTTACTTTTTACCACGGTTATTCATTCCACCAAACCGATATATAATAATCCACATATGATTAATATCCAACAATATATTAATATCCACAATTAATATCCAACGTTGTATGAGTTAATTAATGTATATAAGTTGATTTTTACTTTCAACTAAATTAAAATGAAAAGTTAATGGCCCGTAAGATTCTAACTCTTGTGATCCAAATCCCCGCTTTCGAGTCGGATCTATCAAGTCTAAATTTATTAGTAGGTGCCTTCAGGAACCGCCTGTCTCGCAGGGTACGAGATCTCTCAGCCGCCAACCTGAGTTGTCTCAATCGGGCCGCCTCCTCTCTTCTTCTTTCCCCAGAGCGACGCACTCTTTCCAACTTATTGAACTGGATCAGCCGCCATCGAATGCAAGTCCATCTTCGTATTTTAGTGATACTAAATCAATCAATCAATATGGCGTTCGGTCGCATACGACTACTTCGGATTAGTTGTAATTCGAACTAGTGGCAGCGGTGGGATTCGAACAGACATCAGACACGGACCAGACTTAATCCGTAAGAGCGTGGGTTCGAATCCCACCGCTGTCACCAGTTTTTTCTCACGTGTCCCGAATAGTCGGCGACACGCGCGGCGGGAGCGGCTCCGCCGTGCTACGCGGCTAGATAAGCCGAGAGGAAAAGTTGCGAAAAGGCTATCTTCTTAAAGTTTTTAGGTCAAATTCGAGATTTAATGGAGGAGGATTGATGGGGGAGGGGTCTATTAAGAAAAGCGATAACCAATAAGAAATAAATTAAAAGCACGATTTATCGAGTCCGCTGTAGAACTTTGGACTGTTTTCGTTCGAGGTGGCAATGAATTTTTCTTATAATCTGAAGTAGTCTATTATAAGAAAATACCGGCCGTTTTGAGCTCAGAATTTATAAAAAAAGAACTTATTTATATAAGCTTTATAAAAAAAGAACACTAGCACTCAGAGAAAAAGACAGAAGATTCTATTGACATTACTTTTAATTTCTTTTTTCTCTGTTTAAGCAGGCAATGATTTTTATGATGTTGTGATCAGTTATTTTAACTTCTGTAAGAAAAAATTAATAAGCTAAAGTTAATGAATTTGAAAATAACTTGTTAAAAATTAACTCATTTATAATTTTAATTAAGTTTATAATTAAAAAAAAACGCTTCTTTCATTTCTTCTCGGAAAGAAACTGGAAAAATGTGTGGCAAGATTGCAAAAACCAGTTTTTTTTTAATTTCTTCATTCATCCGCGAAAAGAAATCGGAAAAATCATGGAAAAATTGAAAAATTCCGGATTTTTTCCGAGCCTTTAAAACTTAAAACAAAATTAAGTTAAAAATTATTAACTTTTTAATTAAAATTTTTATTATTTATTACTTAATCTTGCTAATATTTGATAACTAACAACAATCTAACTTAAACATTACTAACTTAGATTTCACGTATGACGAAGTTTATAACTAGGTTTTTGGTATAACGTTAAGTCGAGATGGAGTAAAGTGATAGGTATTGCAGGAACATTAATTTTAGTAATGTATTTGTGAGTACTTGTAAAAAAAGGACTTCGGGCAAAATCAAGTTGCCGCCCCCGGGTGGGCTCGAACCACCAACCTTTCGGTTAACAGCCGAACGCGCTAGCCGATTGCGCCACGGAGGCATTTGATTTCTAGGTCGTACTTATTCTAGATAAATGTCATAAAAGGGTATTTCTATATTTTATAAAATAATATTTATTAATGACAAATTCTTTTTAATTTATTGCACTGTTACATAATCATTTATTCGTCGTGAAATCTCTTCGTACGGAAACGTCTCTATTATAATTGCTTCAAAGAGCGCCTCGAAGAAGGCAACTTGCTACACTACTTTATCAAGTGGGCTGCATAATCTCAGGGGGGAGCAGTGTATTCTTTCTTATAATATAATTATATATAATATATAATATAATATAATATAACTTCAAATGTAACAATAACTTTACTTTTACAATTACTTTTGAATTATATCTGCATTTTTATTCATAAAAAAATTCTCGAATATATCTTTCGATCCGATCCCCAAGATCGGAAAACCCATTTAAATCTGTAGTTTTTCATGAAAGCAATTATTCATTTTATTTAAATAAAAAAATCTAGATCTAAGTAAATACGTTATTAATGTTCATCGAATATTTTTTTTATTTTTGGGATTTAGATATGATTTCTCCCAATGTATAAAAAAACATCTAATAAACCACCATGCGATCGCGCGATATTTCGATCAAAGTTTTCTATAACTCTCTATAATTTATCGTAATATTAAACATTTTACTTAAATTAATTGAAAGAAGCGAGCGAGTGTTTTTATATATTCTCAATGGATTTCGGTAAGGAACTACCAGGAGGCCGGTCTATTTTTTTTACATTTTCCCTGATCTATCCGTGTTACGTCGCGCACAGTATACCTCGGCATGTATGTGCACGACGTTTTCTTTTTCTACTTCCGCGCCGCGGAATGACGTTGCCAGTCGTTCTAGTTTCAAGTCTATCGAAACAACCGCGAGAGTCGAAAGCTATTGCCGGCTGAATGGCAGTCACGATCGAGTCAAATGTACTGTGACGAGTCCGCCGATCAGCTCCGGGGCACAGCTTTAGTTCCGACGTCAGGTGGGCGTCCACCTGTCGGTACTGTTATACTTTAATTCAGAATCAACGCTGAGAGCGCGGTTCCCATAATTTTACGAGCCACGTAATGACATCTCGCCGCTACGAGAAACTATTCTCGAGAATGAAAGAGTAGAGCGGAGCGGAGTTTTATCTTGCTTCGAGTAGCCCCATTTGGCATTCTGTGAAGTTACATATTTCCACATAGAACATTTTCTGCGATTTAATTGGAATCTGTATTCCAATTCTTATATATTCATACATTTACAACACACAAATCTTTCAGAGGTTTCACGGTTACTTAAACTTTCATCAAATTCCAAGAGTCCAAGTTACGGATTAATTCTATTTCGACACCAAATTCTTCGACTGGATTAAGAATCCGGCATGTTAACGAAGGTCTCCGATATTTCCCCTCATTCGTAAGAAAATTTTCCCATATACCAATTTACAAATTAATTAATTATAATAATAATAAATGAATTCCGCTTGCTATATGTTAATACAATAATAAACGATATATATATTAAGTAGCAATTAAAATGAAAGAGAGAGAGAGAGAGAGAGAGAGGAGGGGGAGAGAGAAAGAGAGGGGAAAGGGAGAAGGGGAGAAGAAGAGACTTCGGAACGGAAACAACGAGTGCGCCCTGCATTCTTTAAGATACTCGGCGTCGATAAAGCGATGAACTGGACCGGCCTGTTAAACGCGCGGCCGCGAGGTACGAAACGATCGATTAACGCGACAATTTGCATTTAAGCGTAACTAACTTAATGCGGGACGCAGATGCGCCGTATGCAAAGCGCGCGCGTAGCCGGTGTTTGTGAACGGCGATGGGCAGAGCGGTAGGCGGCCAATTGCTATTTGCGCCTCGTACAAATTTCCACTTTGCATAGCGAAAGCGTCATCGTATAAGCCAGAGTAACGACGGTCGGTAGCATTAGCACTCGAAAGTTACGGTAAAAGGAAGACGCGTACTCTCGCGTACGTACAGTCGGCTCACGGTTTTAGTACTTTCGAGCCGGAACGAAAAGCGTGGCCTGGAAATGGAAGCGATCAAACGTCGCACGTTCAAAGTGTACCGAAGTTCTCCTTTTGAACTATGCATTATCATCAATCTTTGATATCTCAAGTGATCTTTAACGCCAGATTTTTATTTAAGTCCGCTCCGCTTTGTTCTTCTCTAGAAATTAATTTCATAAATTTATTTGACCAATTCTTTTTTATAATCGTCGAAAGTACAGGAAGAGGAAGAGAGGACGGTAAAACATAAATGCGGTGAACCGATATACCTGCATTTCAAGGCTGTAAAATATCGAGCTCCGTTGGAGAGAGCATAAATTTTCCACCAGAAACAGTTGTTTCTACCTTTATGTCCTTCGCCAAATAACGAATCGTCCTAATCGTTTAACAACACCTCGCCGAGTGCCATCGTAATCATAAAGCGGTCGGAGTCACACGTTCCTCTTGTCGTCGGCGCGACCGCGAATAATGGAAGCAGCGGGGATCGGGGAAATGTTGAAATTAAGACGGTAGGCGGCGGCGCGAGGTGTCGATAATGAATCTCCGCGTTAATTAGCCTCCGGAGGCGAGGCGATAGGTAGTTCGTCGTGGCATACCGATATCTTCCTCCTCGCCAGTCCCCGGTCGAGGTAAAGCCTAACTGAAACGTCACGCCACTTGTTACTCGTTAGTGTGCACGATGCCATCTTTACTGGCGGCCGTGCGGCCCGGTTACCTCGCCGGTAGCCGCATCGATATCGGCACGACGGCGTGTAATTAACAATGTTCCCCGGCTCTTTACCCGGCTCCCGCGGCGGAACGCCGCGCGCGCTTCTGGACGGATTCCGTGGCGGAGATGCCGCGACGTG